CCCGTTCCCCCGGCGGTGACCCCCAGCCTGGCTCGGGACGTGGCTCGCGCGGGCAGGGCTCTGCTTGGCCGGGCTGGCATCTCTCACCGCCCCGCAGCCAAGCCCGACCGACACTGGGAGAAACCGTTCTTTCTACATCGCTCCCACCACAGACAGCGTGAAAAAAGCAGCTGGGACAAAACCAGTGTCTGTGTGTGTGTGGGAAGAGGTGCTAGCTAGCACTAACAGACTCCTGTTCAGTGAAACTGGAGATGCGAGGCACGGTGGGTAGTTGCAGGTTTCAGTACTACCCGGTTATTTCTCTGCAAAGTCCTAGGCCTTGCTGACACAGGAACTTGAGCCCAGCGATTCCTAGAGCAGAGAATGATGGCAAGCATCCCTCGCCCTTGTTTGTACTGGAAGAGCTGCTTTTCCATTCCTGACAACGGGACGGTTCGTGTGCCTTCCCAGGCCAGCAAAGGAAGGGGCCTGCAGGACTCCAGAAGGGGTGCAGCTAAACTGAGACTCTGTTTGAGCCATGAAAAAAACCCACCCTCTTGTCAAAAAAGGTGTGCCTTAGAAGCACACTGCGTAACGGAGCAACTCAAGATACCACAGCTAGCAGAGTCTCCTTGAAAACACATTAGTGCTGGAGACCTGCAGTCCTCCAGTGCCATCGTCATAATTTATTTATCCATGACACATAAAGCTCTGATCCCAAATGAGTCCACTTCCCAGCAATGACTTCAGCTTTTGTATGGTTTTAAAGCCAAGAAACGGGAGGGTCAAGCAGCAGACCTCACACACCACAACCCTGACTGAAGACGGTGCAGATGAACGCCCTGTTTGCCGCCCATCTCTGACACCTAAAATGTCAAGCTTTGCTCCGCTACCCTACAGTATTGTTTTCCAAGGCCATCTTTTTAAACACAAGCAGCCAAACTGCCTCTCCTCCCTCATGCTCTAGAACACGCTTTGCCATGCAAATCAGCACAACGCATGTTAGCTATTTAGCTCAGCGCTATTAAAATCGTGAGGCCTTTGCGCTTTCTCCTACCGACGTGGGCTCCCCACCTCAAAATGGCATTTCACCTGTCAGCAACAGCACCGGCCCGGCAGGCAGGGACCGCTGGCGAGCATTTGATGAGCTTTTCTTCCCCACCCCGCTCCCAAGCCGAAACACAGCACTTTCCACGGTGATGCCGGGGCGGCGGGGGCCAGCCTGCCTAGCCCCAAGGAGAATGAAACCAAACCCTGGCACTGCTGCGGTCTGAGAAGGTCTCTGGAGTGGTTTAGCGTTTCAGCCTCTGTTGGCAGGGCTGGCAGAGGCAGTTTGTTCATGTTTACTCAGGAAATAGCACAGATTGCGGCTCACGTTAGAGACAAACTGACTTTGGAAAGCAGGGAATTGGCATTCACACAAAGGCCACTTTGGATCTGACTTCCATGGTGGAAAAGACAATGGGCTTGGGTGAAAAAGCAGTGGGCTTGGATCTAAATTTTGGCAGAATTTGGTAGTTAAAAAGTGGAGATAAGTGAAAAGGGTAAATACAGACTGTGTAAAGGAGTCACAACAAGCAAAAAGGACTAATCCTGACAAGAACAGACATGCTCTCCTCTTACAGCTGAGTTTCATTTCTCCCCTCACCTGCTGCCTCCTGCATGCACCACGAGCCAAAGCAGCAGCAGGGCAGCACGATCAACACAAGGAAGCTTATTAATTGTAGGCATTAATCTGTCTCTTAGTACGAGGGACTACCTCAAAGGTGAGCGGCCATGTTCTAGGCTGTGTAGGGGAAAGTCTGCTCACACAGACTATCTGGCTCCAACTGTGCAGTGGTGTTTTTGCTTTGATTTGCTCTGTTTGGGTGTTTTACTCCATCACACCCTCTGGTTCAATCCACAACAGTATGTAGATGCCCCACATTTAACCCTGGTAGAAATTTGTCCTTTCTCCCCAAATCAAAATAGGAAATACTTGAAGGAAAATGAAACACACAGTGCCAGTCATTGATAAGAGCTCTAACTTCTTGACAGTTCCTTCGCTATCTCTTAGAGCTGTCTAAACTGATAAGGAAAAAAATTAAAATTCCATATACAGGAACTCAATGAACTTCCCACACATGTGGCTGCATTAGCAGCTCTGCCACATGGAAGTAACTTTCTGGTTAAAAAAATCTCTTCCAATTTTTGGATGTATAATCTGGAACTTCAGTCCTGACTCTACACCAGGCTGAGGTTTTCAGAGCAGACATGAGGTTCTGCTTTAAGAGCCCAGAGATCAAAAGGAAAGACCACAGCAACAACACCAAAATACACCGACAAATCACAGCACTGAGCAGCGAGGTAACATATACCCTGGTGGGACGAAAGCAGCTATCTTCCCCTTGGAAACTGCTGCAGTGTCCGTTTCCATCAAGGTTATAGAATTTCCTCCCATTAGCAGGACGGACACCAGCAGTTGTTGCCCTGACACGTGAGAAATGGGAATGTGATCTGCAGTCAGGTATGGCAGGTTACAGGACAGACCGCAGTGTGGCTGCTCGCATGATTCAGGAATTGCCATGATTTCTTCCCAAGGCTCCCAGCCTCAGGGAAGCCATACGTGGGACAGGAGCACTAGCTGGCTCTCAAAATCACTAATGATCCTGAATTTTTGCAGTGTAGGAGAGAAGTAGTATCTGCGGAAAGACAGAACACCAACTCTGTCTGACTTTCTCTGGGCCACGTCACTGCTGGTTTAAGGAATGGGGGAAGGCAGGTGGCCAAATATTTTACAGGCACCTCCCTGAGTGACAAGCCGGCAGCATGCGAGGACAGGAGTAAATACAGAGTAAACAAGTGCATACAAACAGCGACACTGGAAAAATGCTTACTTCGGCATCAGCATCTTGTTTTTCTCATAGAAGAGGCGAAGATCCTGTGGGCTGCTGGCCTGTAGGGGAGAAAGAAAACTAGTGCATGAAGCAATTGACAATGAAGGAAAGGGATTGGCATTTCTATTTCACAGTTACCCCGAAGAGCAGAGAGACACTTTTCAATTGCTGAACCAGCACAGACAATGAGAGCCCGCAGCTCGCTTTAGATTGAAAAGCCAGCACTGTGCCAGAGTGAAAATATAGTATTTCAGCCTGCTATCTTTTTGTCCCTGACCTGGTTCTGTCCTGCTCTCCCCTTCCAAGGGCTGAGCTTCACCGCAGCGGGCTCTGATGCTCAGGTCTGAGCTGGCCTAACAGCCTCACCCAGGAGGCTAAATAATTACAGACGTGAGGAGTCCCCAATGATGAATGGCAGCTCCCGCTGAGAACATGGATTAGTGCTGCAGGGCGCTTAGAAAAGAAGCAGGGAGCCTGCTGACAGGCAAGGGATCTGTGAAGAGACCAGGAACATGGGGAAACAGCAACTAAATTAGGATTTTCTACTTTAATTCCAGGAAGCCAGAAGGTCTCCAGACACAGCTCCTATTTGTGCAGTAACATACACAACTGCTGGGAGTGTTGACGACAATACCCCAAATTCTGAGAGATGGGATTAAAAAAAAAAAAAGGGCTAGGCACAAGAGGTTTACTGCTGAGGTTAAAAATAAAGTCGCTAGTATAGAAGCACAGACACATAAAAATCTCTTAACGTCATTTCTCCATTTGTTTTTATACAATGAATAATACAGGCCAGTAAATTAACCCTAGTGTCTCAAGCTTTTCTGCTGCAGCAAAGTCTCTTTAATAAAAAGGCAGAGCAGACTAGCTGGCGTGACACAGACATGAAGACACGTATAAACAGGGAAGGAAGATCAGAGAGGTTCATCTGCAATCAATTATTGGTGCAGCAGAGCATGTAGGAAAGTGTGAATGAGGAGGCAACAGGCAGCTTCTCCTGATGTTCAGGGCAAGCTCAAAAAACCCTTGAGCCTTCCACCTACTTCCATTTCTAAATTAGAAGCATTTAAGGTCAATTAGGATGCTTAAAATGGCAAATCAGACAAGCCAATCTGCAGATGGCCATCAAAATACCACTAACACAGCATGGCTGGAAAAGCAGCCACTTAAGACGATGTTTCAACATCACCTACTCCCTCCGGTTGAAGATGAAAATTAAGGATAACCGAAAGCTCAATACAAAGCCTCAAGAGAAACCAAAGGGAGAGTCTCACAAGCTTCTAATATCAATAGACTCATCTAGCACTGATCAGGATGGTATTACTTGCATAGTCTTAAGCAACCCAAGCTTCACAGCTCTCCTATTAATTTGTACCAGTAAGAGCTACTCGATTCCTAAAAGGAGATAAGAAAGAGTTCCCAGTTCTCCTTTCTGCAAGAACGCAACCTTTGGTGTTCACAGACACAGCAGGAACCAAACAGGAGGTACAAAAATACTTTCTTCACAAACCATTACAATGACTGTTATCCACCAAAGCACCTTGCTGCACAAACGGCAAACTGCATCAAAATTCCCAATCATTGTCACTCACTTTGATTTGGTTCAGTAAAACCCCATTTTACACCTTTCCTCTTGCAGATATTGCCCTGTAATTAGATTCTTTGTATTTGGCAGACTGTAACGAGGTACATGCACACACTGCAGCAAATGGCTTGGCCACCAGGCTCTGCGTGGTGAAGAATACGCCCAGCAGACGCAGCGTACAAGGAGGAACAGCTCTCCGTCGCCAGGAAGCGAAGCGCTTGCTCACATCAGAGAGATACAAGCCTTGGCTGTTTGCTCCGCTCATTTCCTGTAGCAATGACTCAATTGTTTCACAAACACAATGAAGCTCTGATCTATTTCAAACACTGTTTTGCCAGAAATTTTCCTGGCAATAGAGGCAGAGTACATTAAAAGCAGCACACATGCAAAGCCCAGTTCATTAGAGAGGGTTTCTAAGCACCAGCTCAGACAGAAACAAAATCCTCAATAACGTTCCCCTCATCTTTGCACAAATTAAAGAGATATCCCTGTAGGGATGGTGTTTCTCCACATTCTGCTGTCTCAGTACAATTCCCACTTGTTCTGCAAGGACCATAGCCAGGGTGTCAGGCTCCCATCCAGCCAGACCACGCTTCCTCACTAGGGCTGTCCCCAGGAGCCCACGATTCAGGGCTGCTCTCTGGTAAAGGTAGCTGTCTGCTGGGGAACAGAGTCATTTAGTGAGTGCCCAGCACAGACAACTGCTGATCACTGTTACTTTGGTAAAACCAACTGCATCTTCACGTAACTTCATTATTAATCATCTGAGTCATACAGTTCTGCTCCTAGCAGGAGGCTCCCAGTAACGTGCCCACCGCCCTCCTGCTGTTCACGTCCATTTCATAACACCCCGGTACCTTCCGCCACTTTGCTCACCTCTTCTTTCAATAAATAGTGCTTCTCTGAACCATGGGAGAAAAACGCAGAAATGTTTCTAAGACACTAAAAATGCTACTTGAACTCCTTATAGGAAACTATGGACTTAATTTGAAATCTAACTCCCAGGCAGATACACCCTATCCAAGAAAAACACCAGAAAAAGCACATTTTAGGCACTTAACAACAAGGTACACAGAGGCAGCTGCTACCTGCAGGACAGCATCATCCATCTGTCAGAAACAGGGAGGCAGAACGGGCAGCTCAGTTCTCCCCCAGAACAGGAGACACAACAGCAGGCCAATTTTTTGCTCCCCTTCTCACCTTACGATGGAGCAGCTGCAATAGTGGAACTGGCTCCGGTTTTGTCTGTCCCTTCTTTATATAATGACAATTGGACATATTCAGTCCTGCCACTCTGTTCGTTTGTCCCGAGCGGCAGTGGAAATGTTGAGCCCACAAAGGCATTCAGCGTAACCCTGCCAAATACCACTCGGCGCTGGCTGCCCGCGAGCGAATCGCACGCGAAAAGCACGCAGGGCGGCGTTTCCAAACGCGCTCAGCACTGGATTTGTTGCACTTGGGGAAAGGCTGGCTGCAGAAGCCCAGCGCTCGGTCAGAGAGGGCCAGAGACATTCACACCCTCCGTGAACAGCACCGGCCAGTCAACACTTCATAGCAGGTGTATGGCATCCAGTCTGCTCCTCGAACCCTCTTCCTCTGGGATTCCCAGGGGTTTGGAGGCGCAGAGGGGGGATTCAGATATGTTAGAGACAGAAGAAAATACGTAATGTTTCTAGCTTCATAGTTCTGGGGAAAAGCTTGAAAATCTGCTACAAATATCTCCTGCTCGTGTAGTCTTACAGTTGATATTTAAGACTCCCACAACCAAGTGTCTGGCTTTCAGGGGATCTTGAAATCACAATGACCCAGAAAATAAACCCACAAAACCAAAAAAATCCAAAGCCACAAAACCTTCTTCTTCAGCTGTCCATGAATATTTTGTGTTCTATTACCAACAGCTCAGGATCAGGCCCACAAACACAAGCCTAAAAGCCAGTGGCTCACTGTCACAGCAACAAGTCAACCGCTGTGCCCAATTTCAGAAGAGTAAGCTCCCACCACCAGGATACCTGTCCCCACCGACACAGGACAACCCAGAGGAACAGCTCCGGGAACAGAAGAACAGCCTGCCTAACAAATAAACCAGGAATTCAAATTCTGGGTATAAAATCCTCCCCTTCCCTAGTCTTCCTCCAGGCCTGTTTCACAACATAACAGTTGTTTTATGTGATACATAATCCTAGTACTTATGCAGGCAGAATTAACCCAGAAATAAAGGACCTGGTACACCAGGCTTAGAAATTAATTTTTCACCTAGCAGTGAGCTGGGATTGGAACACACTCAGGCAGGTTAACTCTTTCAGAGCTGCCACTGCAGCCAGCACAACTTGTCTTGCCTCTCTTGCCACGTCCCGGCTGACCGTCCTGCAGACACAGCGTGCCGCATCCATAAAGCAGCTAGGAGAATATTCATGCAAAGGCTCAGACAGCAGGCAACCAGGTCTCGTGGTCCTTCGCAGGATCTGATGTCCAAGTGGACCCATGCCACTGCCAGAGACAGCTCAGACACGAAGTGCGTGTGCGTGGCGGTGTGTCCGCTTACTGCGAGCTGCCCAGTTATTCAAGGGGTCACACAACAGAAATCACAGAACAGCAGTGTGACTCCCCCCTCACAAGAAAAAGATTGAGGTCATTTAACTCTAATCATATGTAGAACACCATCTGACACGGGCTAGATTGGTTCTGGAACATATTTTAGACCTTGTGTAAATCTTTCTGTTCTCTGCCTCTGGTTTTGCCTCTGGTTGTCACTTGTCTACGAAGCCTACATCACCTCATGGTGGGCACTGGGTCCCAGTGTTTTCTGCTCAGGTAAGGACTAGAGAAAACCACCACACTCTCGAGGCACTTCTCAGTACCAGTCAGCAAGGCCGGGAAACATGCTGTTCAAGCCCTGTTCTCAGCAACAGAAATGAAGAGATACAAGTGCAGACCACTTATTAGGCAAGGCAAATTAACAATTCCACATTAATACAGTGCTCAGCAAATCTGTTTATACGGATTATGAATCCCATTAATCTCATCCCTATTCCAGTCTCACTGTTTTGTTTCTGGGCATGTTTAATACAAAAAGCTCCTTAAGACAGCTTCACCAGCCATCCTACCAACTGTTCACATCTGAGCATCAGCAGTTTCTTTCCTGTCTGCGTGCAGGGAGGCAGGCAAGGGACAGGAATGGCTCTGGGAAGTTGCCTTGGGTGACCCAGCTAGTTAATTTTAACTTTGAGACAGCTAGAAATCACATTCATGCACACACACACACACATCTCCATCTTGACTTGCAAGCACTTTCTGGATTGACAGCTGCCTCAGCCTTTCCACAAATTTGATCTTTTCTCCATCTAACCCAGCCCCCCGAAGCCCTATTTTATTTTTAGGCAGCTCATTCCTCCCCGCTGCAGATAACACTGGAGTCCTTTTGGTTTGCGTCCCCGTGAAGGTGCCTAACTGGCTCACACAGCAAACAGCCAGAGCACCCAAACACAGCATGTTTTACACCACCCTGCTCCAGATTCCCATGGGAATCTCAGCTAGGCAGAGGTGAGGGGCTGTCCTCGCTGGTCTGGGAGGGGTGGCACAGTGAGGATTTAGCCTGAAGAGCTTTGTGTCAGAAATCCAGTTCCTGGCTGCCCAATGCAACTGGGTCTGCGGGTGGCACTGCATGGAATCAGCCTGCTATCTCCCCACCCATGTGTAGATGTCCCTCCCAGGAGCACTCATTCCTATTCACAGTCTCCCCATCACCTCTGTCCACTCCCCCTCTTTCCTCTGAAAAGCCCTATAAACAATAGCTTCTCATCTGCTCAGTGACCATTTGCAAATTCTAACGTTGCAGTCATGCCAACAAAGACATAAAGCTGGTTAACCTTTAACGAGCTTTCCAACATCTGCCCTAGACAGGTTTTTCACCTGAAACTCGCAGCTAGGAGAAGGCAATTTGTGACACACATGGTCAAAACAAATAGATGGTGCACAGAAAGCCATCTGGGCTGAGCTTGCTTTCTCCCTGATCAAACAAATCCACAGCTGCTACTGCTGTAGCAAGTGGGGCCTGGCATTCTGCTTCAAAATTCAAACCCCGTAAGAGGCAAGGGCACAGGGAAAAATTAACATAGAGAGTCACACCGTCCCCAGACCAACAGATGTTGGATGTATACGGAAAAGAGAAGTTATCCAGCCAGGCAAGCTCAAAGAAAGGACCAGGACCTGCCAGGCAGGGTCCGAAAGGCCCCCTCGTTGCCTGCAGCAGGGCAGGGTGCTGCCATGGCTCAGTCCGAGGGACCCAGGCGTGCAGGACCTCCCCTCCGTGCGAGCCTGCCGACACACACAGGCAGGGCGCTGATGGCTGTCTGACTACCTGCCCCTTCAAAGCCTTGGCTGGAGATACACATGAAGCTGACTCGTATTCAGTTTTATTTCCTGTGAAAAAAATATTCTCCATGAGAACAAATGTTTTCAGAACATTTCCGTGACATGCTTCAATGACCAGCGATAAAAGCCACCCAATTCTTTCCAAAGAAATCAGATGCCCCAAGGTTGTGTGTGAGCTACTAAGCTAAGAACACCTACGATAAAGTCAACACGTTAAGTAACTAAATCATTTGAATGAGTACAGTATCAACCTGCCTTTACAGACTACAAGGCACCACGTTACAAGACAGAACGAGTGCAAGGCTCTCCTATGCATGCAGAGTCAAAGTTTGCTTCTTCCACCTCCGCATGTTTTTTTCCTTACTGCACAAATACCTATTTTCTTTTATCTTAACAGCTATCTTCTCCTCTCAAACAAAGATACCAACACTGACAACAAGTGGATGCAGGCAGTAAACAGTAGCCATCCAGGAGTTGCAGTGTACTTTGTAGGGGTGTTTATAAAAAAAGAAACACGAAAAGGAAATGAAGTCTTGCTCCAAACACAGAGCAAGCTGGTAGACAGAATATAAACCACTGGAATGGAAGATTCCTACAGCAGCAGGGAAAAAATTACCCTGAAGGAGAAAAGTGTTCTTGGCTCTAGACAAAACCAAAACATACTGTTTGTTTTCTTCTGTATTTGCCCACTCCTTTATCCTTCCTGATGACATAACTGCAAAAACATTCAAGGTCTTGCACGAAATTCTAGAGAGCTGTGGAGCTGTGGAGCTAAAGCTCAGAAAGTCCTGCAGTTCACGAAATCTGCCTTATTATATGAGCATAGATTTACCCCCCAACTGACTTTTTGTTTGGATTTGGGTTTTTTTGTTGGTTTTGGTTTTGCTTTTTTGTTAGGGAGCTAGAATAAGGGGGTGTCTGGACATGAGAAGAGGGCCACAGTTCACATTTGACCTGATCTAAGAAGCTGAAGAGTTGGCATCAGCTGATACATCAGCATGCAAATTCGAGGTTTGGTCTTTTTCCACAGAGTAGAGGCGAGGTGTACAGAGCTCACACATTAAAGAAGCAAAGAAGTATCAGCAGCTCAAGCATCTCTCTGCTATGCTGCAAGCCAGCAAAGAAAAAACCTGACAAGCACAGTACTTTAAAATAGTAGTTGCAAGGGAGAGTCTGCAGATCTCATTCAGCATGGAAGAAGAAAAGTAATACATAGTGTGGCACACTAATCATTGGGAACAAGAAAGATGCACTCAGTCTAGATGAATTCCAGCTATATATAAGGTTAAAAATACATGATGAATTCTCCATCATTCGGAAATTTTAAATCAGAGAATGCCTTTTATAAAAGACAGGCTCTAGCTCATTCAGAAGTTATGACATAAATTACAGGGTGGAGTTTTACTGGACTGTGTTATATTTAGAGGGGTTTGGACTTGATGAACATAAACATTTCAGGCTGGAAGGAACTGTTGTGAGATGACAGATAAGATCCTTTTGATAAGATCCTACTTAACTGCTCTAAAACCAAAGTCAATTTAGCTGCAATATACCAGTTACCACCAAATCATCCTGAACATTAACTTGCAATTACAATCTTCCTTATTGTCCGTCCACACCCGAGAGAATCATAATTATAAATTACACACGGAATACAGTTGTAAATAGAAACTGATTTTTTAAGTGTGAGCCTGGAAAAAATACTGCTTTAACTGATTCATGTTAATTTTCTGAAGAGATGACCCTTCCTAAGTATTTATAACCAGGAAATGCATTTCACTGAGATACAGCCCAGAGGAGAGTCATGTTACTAGAACATGCATTACAACATATCAAGCACCACATTGTCAAGGTGTTGGACAGCCTGACCTCCATGAAGCTGGATCTATGGGAGTTAATACTCTAGATGACAGAAGGCTTAGAGTAAGCAGATTAAAAGGAAAAAGAGAAAAAAGGAAGAGTCAGAAACATTAGATCTAAGCAACTCACCTGGAAAGGAGCCTTTCCTGTCAAACACTGATAAATGATGGTTCCTATACTCCAGAGGTCAGCTTTGGCATCGTAGTGTTGAGACATAATGACTTCTGGTGCCTTTTTGGAGAGAGAACAGAAATCCATTTTATAAAAGATGTAGCTTTTTTTTTTTTTTTGGCAGCTGCAAGAAACAGAAGTCACTATTATGCTTTAAAAACCCCGAGATAGACTCCCCCAAGGGCCATGAACAATTTGCTCCCAAGACGACGGTAACACTACCTTGCAAGGGCCAATTCCCTGTCACAGTGGGTGAAGCAGAGACTTTCACTCAGACAAAAAAACAACAAAAAACCAAAGACTAGATGCTGTTTTGCGACTTAGGGTAAATTCAGTACTTCCCCTTCTCAGAGCACCATTTTCTGCTGAAC